TACGTAAAATTACTTTGCGGTGGTTCTGGCAGCGCCAAAAATTGGAAAAACACAATTGTTTTTGCACGAAATCAATTTGAAAACATGATTAAGAGGCATCACGAGAATGAAAGGGGGACAACTCATATCGAGTTATACTTATTATAAAACCCAGGTTGTTTGTGTGTGTGTGTTCGTTTATATATGGGATCGGATTTCCTACATTTTTCAACCGATTTCAACAAAACTTCACTTTTTTGTTTTGGCAGGTAGTGTTTCTTATTGTCTTGTACACCTTTTTCTTTATTTTTACATTCAGAATGCTTTAAAAATTCCACTTACAAGACAATTGTTTATAATAAAATTCTATTCAATCGGTAGACTCATAACGATTGAAAACAATGTTTTTATTTGAGTTTGGGTTTGACCAATTCGTAAAAAACAACAAACAAACAAAAAAAAAACCCCAAAAAACTAATTAAGACATGCGTGTCCGTCAACCTTAAACAATAATCTTTGTCAATTTTATTTTTCAGTCTTTATGATGGTCGATACTTGATCTATCTCTTACTGTTACATCCCCGGGCAACGCCGGGTTCTACTGCTAGTTAGAAATAAACCTCAAGCGACAGTAACTCCTTGGGCAAGGGATGCTGAATGTCTCCTCTATGGAAACGGTTATTTTTTCCTTTGCTATGATGAATAGTTAGTCTCGGCTTCTTCCCTTAAATTTGCATTACAAATAATTATTTTAATGACTAATACATTATTTTGACAATGCATAGTCTGGTATATGTAACCTTAATACTCAGATTTGGCAGTAACGTTGGCGGTGGTATGCACTCTCTGAGTGATTTCCAGTTTGTACGGTGATTTTCAGTTTTTTTTCTTAATTGTTTATGGAAGTAAAACATGCATTTAAAATTTTAATGTGTTCCGTGTAAAAGTAATTTATTAGTCTTTACTCGTTTATGTTTGTCTTTTTGGACGCAAAAATCTTTTGTGACGAAGAAATAATATTTAATTTGAGAATTCGAAACGAAAAGAATCCTTCATCCCTTCGTATCTGACTACACCCTCAACTCCAATGGAATCTGATGGGTAAAACAGGTTTCTTGTAATTTAATATAAGCAATTTACTGGAGCCGAAACTTAGTGGTATGTGGACCATTTAGCTATGAAAGGAGGGGCTTGCTTTATTACTACTTCGACAAGGGAGGAAAATACATATAAGATAGGAATGAAGGAATTAGGAGTGGATAATTCAAAATAAAAAAAAAAATCAAATTTTGTGTAAAAAATAACAATAGATTTATGCCCGTTACAGAGCGAGGGCAATTGTCTTGAGTAAATATTGATTTTTTACGTCTTATCAAACTTTTGCGGGTTATTTAAAGCCAGAAAATATTTTAAGATTGTATAATATTTTTATAGATAATAATGATTTATTGATATAAGTCATACTAATTAAACCAATAGCTGAGGAGGCGGAGAAAACGTTAATTTATACCTTTATAAGTGAATAGAACCAACCTCACTAGAACTGGAACTCGGCTCTCTGATTTCCAATTCTGAACAGTTATCCATTACACCACCCGCACTCCGATTTCCATTTCCGATATCCAGTACACCACGCGCACATACAAACTTAAAGCACGTGGTATTTCAAAGCGGTCACCAATTTAAAAATTTTTATTCCAGCCTGATAAAAAATTTTGAAAGTGGTTGAAGTTCGTTTAATAAATGTTTTTTTTTTCTCAATGAATATATAGTCTATATATTTGTTGATAATCTGTAAAAAAAAAGACAACATTTAAAATATTCTTTGGGGTTTTTTACATACTTTATCACAGCCCTATATATATATATAATTAAATTCGTGGCTTATAGCTTCCATTTTTGAAACATGGTTAGAATTGTGTAGCGAAAAAAAACATATTTTAAATCAATTAATTTATAATATTAATGCAATGGAAATTTACATTGAGCACTATTTTGTAAAAATAAAAATATCCGTAAGAACACCGGATTATATATCTTACTGTTCTTCATATATATATATATATATATATATATATATATATATATATATATATATATATATATATATATATATATATATACCCACCCACTTTAACGTGATGAGCAATAATTTTGACTTAAAAATGCTACTCTGATCAAAGGAGAAAAACAACTAACTACGACGCAAATGTCTAGAGGGTACCATGATCGCAAGGTCATTTACAGTAAATTTACTCGCTGTCTCTTACAAGATTTCACCATTCCTGACAGATCTATTAATATATCAATATATTACTCCAAACTAAAAAAAAAAGCCTTCCAATAATATAATACAAAATTAAGCACAGGGTACTTGCCAGTTGAATTTATGTTGCCTAAATTTAGCTTATACATACATACATACATATTTGTATCACGTAAACGTTTTTTTAGAGGATTCTCCTATTTGTGTAGTTGCTCTGTTTATTTATTAAAGAGTAGATTTATTTATTCTCACCTACCGGATTGAATGTTCGTGAATCCTTATTAAAGAAAAAAATTGTAGGCTTCGGCAGGAATCTAACCAGAGTCCCGAAGGGCAGAAGGAAGCCACCTTTTAGCCCGGCGTGCATTACTGCTTGGCCGCAAAAGGGCCAACGGTTAGACGGACTCAATTGTATACTTTAAAGAGAAATCTCTCCCATTAAATATCTCTAGAAGTTTTTTTTTTAATATCTGCGCATAGTTTTGTATCAAAATGCAAGCAAAAATACATACACATATACATATCATTGTTTTTTTCTTCTTCTGTGAGCGTGAAGGTTAACAGTTATATAGAGACATCAAGTGCAACAGAAAATTGACTTTGGTTCGACAATTTGGAGCCACAAATTGAGTTGTGCTTCACGATCAAAAATAACAGCTAATAAAGAACTACTAAAATTAGATTCTAATTTCATTGAAGTCAGATTTAACTCAAGCTTAAATCAGTTTAAAAAAAAAAGAGTAAGGGTAAAGTGAATTCATGCCTCCCTCCCCCTGAATATTATCTAAAATGTAATATCAGCCAATGCTACCAAAATTAAAACTCCGTTCGTTGGATTCATATTCTGCTATTTTATTCTATTTCCTGATCTGCTCATATATTTAGTTACTCTAGTCACGTGACACCATGTCGAAGTGAGTGAGAACCACACGGTGGTTTGTGTTTGTGCGTCTGTGAGCGAATGTATACGTTCTCGTAACGTTTAGCGAGATCACTGGTAGTAAATCATTAATAATGATATAAAAATACATTGTCAATCGAGAAGAGTTTTACTGGGATGCATGTTTTGAAATCGCTATCATGTGGCAGGGTGATTTGATCCGAGTATCTCGAAAGATCTCTGGTTTTAAAAAGGTAGAGTAGTCTCATTGTCGACAAATCGGAGGCGTGGTAACCGGCATCAACTACATGACAATAAAATACTTCCTTTCATACATCGAATAGTTTTATTCGCTCAGTAACGTTCGAATTAACTACTGACTAAAAACCACGTATTTTAACCTGATTTATAAATTTGAGTAAACCATTGTATTTTAAACATATCACTCACTATCTTTAGGCAGTCATAGCAGGGCTTGTGCTAAGCTATCGACTCCCCCACTGGCAATTTAAATGTTTCCCAACCTGGGTGTCACAAGCCCTCAAAGAAAAATTGGGGGAAGGGTAGCACTGTTTTATATTACCAAAAATCAGGGAATTATCCAATTTTAATGAAAATTTCTGTAAATATTCAATAATTATTTACTTTCATAATGAATAGGATTTTTTATTTTAAAAATCTGGGAAAATGCTATTCATTTTGTAATAAGTGACTAAATTTTGCTCGAAAAAAAATGTTTATATCGCAAATTTTTTTTAAGATTAATAACCGACGCTTTTACGCTGGAAAGAAAAATGGAAAGTTTTACAAAGATTCCAACAGAACACAAACGGGATTATCTTCCTGCTTGTCTCGCTAAAACAGTTACGACTGAGTAGTGAGTTCGATCCTCACTGGGTGCCCCTTACTTTCGGCTTTGTGCCACATCCAAGCTACGCTTGGAAAATCACTATCTTTATGCGGTGAAAACGTTTGATATTTTTAATCGATCACTTCATCGGTTTTATCTTTCTAGAAATATAAAAAAAAATAGGGATTGAATTTTTTTAATTTCTAGCTCGTTAGTATTACTAGTAGTAAAAAAATAGTAAAGAGATTCGCCTTAATGGATGATCTTGGATTAAAAACAAGAATTTTACTGAGATATATTACGCTTATATATGTTGATCTAAATGAACAATTCAGAAGGAAAATTACAAATTAGAAAAATAAGCACTACTGAAATTAGCACTTCTACCCCCCCTCCCCAGTAGGGATTGGGCCCCCAACCTTGTTGAGAGTTTCGTGCCCTACACGCAAGCCTGCAATTGGCATTGGGTGGCATGCCACTAGCGCTTACCGCTTACCGCTAGTGGCCGGCTGTCGGACCGCCGGCGGGTTCTTCTCAGCAATGTTACCACTGACGGACCGCTAGAGGCCATCGTCAGCCCGCCAGCGGTCCACTAGCAGCTTGCGTGAACGGTGGTAGTAAGCACCGGCCCTGTCGATTATTATAGTTGATGTTTGACAATATATCTTAGGGAGGAAAAAAGTAAAAAAGTTCCAAATGCAAAAAAATAAATAAAATAAAAATAAAAATAAAAACGCTGCTGAAATCAACTCTTTTGGGGATCGTTCCTGTATAGTACGCACCACATCAGCCAAGCAGATACATGTTTCATATTATTAGTTGAGGAGTGACAATGTAACGTCAGTTTAAAAATAATTTAAAATAATGGTGGATGGCCATGAATCAGTGCTGAAAAAATGGCAGAAGCCAAAATGGCCTCATCCAAAAAAAACAAAAAAACTAAAAACCAAAAAAAAAAAAAACGCCCTCACTCCAGGAAAGAGGCACCGGCCTTGAGACATAGAATCTTTAATCCCTGGTCACAGGAAATTTGTCTCCTTGGCACTGTATTTCATCTATCTATCTATCTATCTATCTATCTATCTATCTATCTATGAACTGGGGTCAAATAAAGATCAAATATGAGAATCCTACAGAATGATCGGATAAGTAATAAATAGGAAACATTTATATAATCTAAGATATTTCACTTTTATTAAAGCTTCAGCAAAAAATGAAATATGGTGGAAAATGAAGAGGGAAACATTCTTGTAATTTTAATTTTTGAGTAGTTGTGTTCTGGTTGTTTAAGCAGACTTCACACACGTTGACTAAACATATAGACGTGAAGTCGGCTTAAGCAATGAAATCAAATGTTAGATTTATCGACGTTTCTTATTTGTCCTTAATTTTTCTTTCTTTTAACTTGTGTATTCATGAGACGCGGGTTCGAATTTCACCACGGTCAATTTTTCAGGAAGTAGACTTTCTGATGTTATCGGGCAGGAGTGGTCGATCCCAGCGTGCGACATCTTTGGAAAGTGCCTGAAAACCGTACCACAGGTTGACCCAAGCCTTGTGAGTGAAATTGGGTAGACAGAACCTATCGGGGCCGTCGATAGCTGTGCTAGCACGAAGCCACAAGTCATCTTGACCGAGGGCTTGAGCGTGCAGGCCTTGAGCGTGCAGGCCTTGAACAAATTGTTGATCACGTTAGATAACACGCTGTAACTAAGGTTTGCTCAGTATATTTGCAGCATAAGCCACATGTGGGCTCTGTGGGTGTTGAATAAAGACAGATGCGCCTGATCAAGCGTCTGCAATAGGGATTGACTAGACGCCATAGTAGACGGTTATCCACGAATACGAGTGGTCAGCTATCTATCTATCTATCTATCTATCTATCTATCTATCTCAATCTGTTCATCTCAGTCTATCTTCTTATGATAATGTTTGCCCAATAGAAGACCCAAGAGCCACTCAAGTTAGACGGTTATTGTATTTTGTTGTAAGAAATGGCAAGAAGTGGAATCATGGAGCTATACAGGAAAAATAATGTCTAACCCTAGACTTGAAGAGGTCAAGACTGTAGTGATTAGAAAAACATTCTCCTGGAACCGAGTGGATCTTGCTTCTTACTGATGGAGTACGAAGGGAATTGAAAAGATTGACACTTGTATATGGGCGTGTCGAGTCCCGGTTGTTAATTTCAGGGTGATGCGACCAATGAATATAGCTAGTCAGAACACATACTATTAAATAGCCGTAGAGCAACGTTTCGTTAATGGGAAAGTGGTTGTAGGGTGGAAAATAATTTATCACCCACATGTCCGCGTAGACGCTTTTGAAAGACAGGAAAATTTTGACGAGATGACCAGACCAGATGTGGCAGCAATACTCTGTTTTTGTCTTATCTGGTTCTTACAAAGATCGAATATGGCAGTGTTGGTTAAATACTTACTGAAACGGTACAAGGAACCATCTATCTATCTATCTATCTATCTATCTATCTATCTATCTATCTATCTATCTATCTATCTATCTATCTAGGGTCTAGTGGATAGCGGCTCGAATTGAGGAATCGGAGAGTCGAGTTCGAATTTTCGAATCCATTACATTCACGTACGTGCTAATACCATTGGGAATGGTATTAATCCTCTTCTTCTCCCTCCAGCTATGGCTAAATAGCAGGACAGCCTAGGTTCTATAGCCTTGGATAGAAACTGGTCTGGAAAAGAACAACTCTAAATTCAAAACCTGCGGAGGGTAGTTTGGGTACGTAGTGTACTTGTGGTACGTAGTGTACTTGTGGTACGTAGTGTACTTGTGGTACGTAGTGTACTAGGTCTCTTAAAAAAGTGTGATTGGTTCTTCACAGTTCCTTCACTACTATATGCTGGTGTCTGGCTGTCGATTCCTAGTAACTGAGCTTCATACATCGAATACGACGGGAGAGTCCGCTATCTATCTATCTATCTATCTATCTATCTATCTATCTATCTATCTATCTATCTATGTCTGTTCATATCTATCTATCTATCTATCTATCTATCTATCTATCTATCTATCTATCTATCTCTATTCTTATCTAGCTATCTTTACGTAGCCATGATTAAAGTCAATCTTTACGTAGTCATAAAACATTTTATTCAAACGACATTGTCTATATCTCTTAAGTTTTACTTTTCCCTTTTGAATAAGTTGTTGCACATCAGGATCAGTGAATAAACTGCCTAATTTTCATGTCATTATTTTTTATTTTATTTTATTTTTTTTTGGGTCAGGGACTGAAGCTGAGATGCGAGGTCAGGAGCAACAGACATAGCAGATTCTTCTTTAGATTATATCAAGAATCTCTAAATATATAGCAGGAGCACCAGACCAGATCTGACAGCAATATTCAAGCATGAACGAATGGTAGACTTATGAATATGTAAGATAGTTTCTATTAACATAACTTAGTTAGCAATTATAGATCTCCTGAAAGTTGATTAAAATATGATATTATTTTATATTAACGTATATAATATAATAATTTGTTCTGGTAAATGGGTTATGATGTTGAATAAGTAAATAATTCCATGGCCCACAATTTAATCTCAAGTATATGACATATGGGAATTGCTTATATATAAAAACATGTTTTTTTTCTTATTATATCATCCCAAGGAAGGCGTTAATTCCACGAGGACGTAAGAGTTGCTAGAGGATGAAAGAGAATGAAAAGATTTTAGTCGATAAGAGAACAGGATTCAGAGGGAGAGAAAATGCAAAATACAAATTGGAGACGTCAAAATAAAGCAAGTATATGAATTTAACTATCAGTGGGAATGGAATATTCAACAAAAAAAATCCAAAGTTGCTGTGAAATAGGAAACGTTGTCTTCAAAAAAGTAAGCACAAAATGAAGATGCCTTCCATGAGCATGGTTGATGGTAACCCCCAAGAGAGCAACTATTTGTGCATTATTGGGTTATGCTTTTTCACTGGATTGATTATACCAGGTGTAACAGCAAAATTGTCCAAAATCGCGTAACAGCATAAATACCCATACGACAAAATGTTTAATAACAATAAACACTATGCTAATCGAGTTACTTATTTTTCAGGTATTCAGATAAGACGTTTAGCCGTCTTGACACCATTTTTTCGTAAGATTCGCTGATAAGCCCTTTGAGATAAAATTGTTTTGTGTTAGACCCAGTGTCTTTCGAACTGAGCAATGGTGAGAGTGAAAAGATCATTCAGGCCTTCAGAAATTGTATCAACATTCATACTCTGGCTTCGTCAGATTCCATTCAAGATCCATCAAGATAACGGGGAAAAGGTTTAAAAAAAATAGGGAACACTAGAGAGGAAAAGTGGATAAGGTGACAACAGGGAGAGGGATCATCCTTTCAGCTTAGAGCTAAAGAAATCGATTAGAAAAGATCCAACTCAATTCATAAGGCGTTTGGTAGGTGAGAGAGGAGTTTCAGTTATGACAGTCCAAAGAGCAGTGAAAAAAGATTGAAAAGGAATTGTTTGAAATCTGTGAGACAACTAGTTACACTAGGACAGAAAGTTGGAAAGTAAAAAGAAGTTTGAAAATGATCCTGGAATTATATATATATATATATATATATATATATATATGTAAAAGTATGTAAATAAAATTCTAATATACACACACACACACACACACACACATATATATATATATATATATATATATATATATATATATTAAAACTTTATTTACATACTTCCTGAGCTTACGATTCTTAACTACGATTAATTAATGATGAACATGCCATTTTCGAGTCTTCTATTAAGCTTGGAGAGTAATTATACATTTTTATTGCTCAAAGTAGAGGCCAATAGTGTTAAAAAATCTCGGAAAATTCCAGTAATATATTTTTAATCCTTTCTAAGTTACAATGGTTCAAAACTTGAATTTGACAATTTTTCTGTTTTACCCCGTATACGTTTTTTAGCTATTTTTATTATAATCGATTACGTAAACTAAATAATTTCCGATTTTAAAATTTAAAAAGATCATACGTGTTTTATGCAACTAGAATATATAATGTATAGGAGAACTGTATTGTGCTGCTAGTTCAAAAACTGAATTTAAATTTGAGATTACAACTGATAAAATTTCGAAATACATTTATTTTTTAAATTGTTTTTTTTTTTCGATAGGAGATGAACGCTAACCGGCATTTTTAAAAACATGGAAACTAGAATCGACCAAATGCAAATTCCTTATATACTTGGCTAAATCATGAATCCAGTTCTCATAACAATTAACATTATGGGCGACTCGTTGCTACTTATTACTCAGGAGGTAGAGACAGTATTCTCTGAGTAACTACCACTACTCCTGGGAAATAAAGAAATAAAAGCAAAACAATCAATTTGGGGTTGAATTAGATTTTTTTGATCAAGAAGATAAGACAGAAAACTGACAGGAAAGTAAATGGATGTCACGCTTCGACAAATGACATGTCAACATACGAGAGACAGTTGTTGAATGTGTGACGATGTAACAATTTAGTGCTGCGTTTTTTATTGTTAATACAATAAGTTTTTTTTTATACTAAAACTCCTGCTGAGATATATTAATGGCGTGCACAATCTCAAGAATATAAGATATGCAGGTGACACTTTATTGATGGCAGACACTAAAAGGAAACTAATGGTGGACATTTTTCTCACAGATGAAGAATAAATTTGAAGCAACGTAGATGCTGTACTACAAAAGAATGTTTAGAATCCTTTTTTTGAATTATTTCACCCCAAGCAAGACGATAATGCCACTAATACGCAATAGGTTACTGGGAGTGGAATATAGAGAAGACTTTAGTGAGTAGAAAGGACAATGAAAGAACGGTTTTAGGAAAACAGAAGATTGACGTTGTATTTAAATCTTTGAAGATTATAGATAACTGGAAAGGAAGAAACAGAAGAGAGTTACCGGGGATTAGAGGTTTATCCCTTTCTTCCTGTTTAGGAATGGGCTTCCGGTTCTTTCTAAAGTCTACTTCAAACGAATACTTCTAGCCTTTCCACTGAAACTCTGGAGGTTATACTTTTATTGGGTTTCCCCTTCTTTCTAAAGTCTTTTCCTTCTCTTTCACTTCCAGTAGCCCCTTGCATCTTAGTGGCGCTATTTCCATCCTTGGGGTGAATTGATTTAAAAAAATGTTCCTATGCTAGTTTGTGTATTTCTTTTCCACTTCTTTCTATTTTAATTTGAACGTCCATATCAATGGGGTTATTTTTTTTTTAGTAAGATCCATTACAATTAAAGTCCCTGTTGATCATTTTGCGCCTGCCGGCCACAAGTCAAAATAAGAAATGATGGCTTTATTGTCAATGTCTCGGTAAGAGAAGTTCTTGCCTATTTTCAAACCCAGCCATTCTTGACCTGTATCCATCGCTGTCAGATTCGCACTGAAATATATGTACGTCGCTGGGTAAAACAATAATTGTGATGTTAATTATTTTATACTTCTTGAACGAAACTAATTAATTCTTGTCGGTGTGTATCGAGTGGTAAAGAAAATACTGAACGACTAGGGGAAAGTGAACTGACATAGTGATTTTTCAAGCATTGCTTAGATGTGGCACAAGGCCGAAAATAGTTGGCACCCAGTGAGGATCGAACTCACTACTCAGACGTAATTGTTCTAGCAAGACAAGCTTGCTAACAATTACACCGCCTCGAGGTGCCAATATAGTGATTTTCCAAGCGTGGCTTAGATGTGGCATAAGGCCGAAAGTATGGGGCACCCAGTGAGGATCGAACTCACTACTCAGTCGTAATTGTCCTAGCGAGGCAAGCTTGTTAAACATTACACCGTCACGGGGTGCCCAAGTGAACTGACATATGGTCGTAACGGAGCATGAGAAGAAGCAAGATACATTTTCCACATTTAAAGCTGTCCATATACAAATCTTTCTCGTCTAGAAACCCTATGCCACATACACAGGTTCGAATCATCCTCATTTCTTTCTTATTCTATTAGTCAGGAGGATGGTTCACTTATGCAGGTTCTTTCTCAGAACTTGTTTTAAAGCATTTCACCCCAAGCAAAGTGGAAGTACCACTAGTACGCAAGGCGTTACAGAGAGCGAGAGTAAGAGTAAAGAGGGATGTTTGAGGAAAAGATAAAAAGAAGACCAGGGATCAAGATCAAGACAACAGAAGATGTCGATTGACATTATATTTAAATATGTGAAGATTATAGCTATCAGGGAAGCAAGTAAGCGGAAGGGAGTTCCACTCTCGGGAAGTGCGAGGAAAAGCTGCTGAAGTAGAAGAGGCGGTTACATTTAATTGCTTCGACAGTGAAAGGGTGGGACGAAGATGCCAACCTAGTAGCACGCTTAAATTCATGCAGTTGGGGTACCAGTGAAAGTAGCTTGTCAGAGCAGATGCCATGAATACATTTGTAGAAAAGACAAAAGGAAGCCACATCATGTCTGTGAGAGAGTGACTGTAGTCGAGATGCCAGGTTAGGACCTGTAACATTGTATATCATTTTTTTGGTTTTGTCGACAACCTCGAGATGAACAGCCGGTGCACCAGACCATATATGGCAACAGTATTCAATGCAAGGACGAATGGTAGATTTTGTGGGTTTGAAAGATGGACTCAGGCGAGAAAAACCTTCTGGCGCGACAGAGAGAACCTATATTACCAGACTTTAAATCGAGGGTCAACTGTAATCTATCTTACATTTCCCCGTAATAAGAATTTCTTATTGCAGCCATTTACAACATTATAACAACTATAATCAGCAAACATCTATCTTGAATGGATCCTGGGACTTGTAATAGGTGACAACGGTATAAAAATATCTAGTTGCTCAGCGACTGTGTTTCTGGTTGTGTCGTGGCATATAATGATTCCACTATCGGATCGACAATTTGTAAGATTCACATCGGAGCAATTACCCTACGGTAAGGTGGTTACGGCTACGGAGAGGCTATGATTTAAAATTGTCAATTATGTTTGTAATATATATATATATATATATATATATATATGGTTAATTGAATCTATCTCGTCGGTTTGCCGGCGAAACATAATAAACTCAACAAATTTTTAATAAAAAT